AATTGCTTCTTTGACTCGCTTCACTCATGACCGCTTCATAGGCCCTTTCTCAACATTCAATGAATCCTTGCCTAAACTTGTATTCGTATCATTGATCACATCACTACTAGTACTAAGGTAGTGTTATAACTATATTTTGTTTCTTTATTCATTATTAAATTTTATTTAAATGTTTTATAAAAAATTGAGCATGAAATATTAATTTGTGTAATTTTAACTCTGTCTACATATCATATAGTCGGCACAAGCTTGAATAATAGTAAAAGGTTTTTACAACTTTTACCTCCTCATGTAAAGATGAAAAATCGAGTGTAACATGAGTAGGGCCAGAGAATATGCACTAAAACCCAGACTTCTTCGATTAATAACAATTTTTTCAACAACATATAATTTTTCTTACAAATTAACGTCTTCATTATACTTTGGGGGTGAAAATATCAATTTTAATTTTTACAAAAAAAAATATAAAATAAAAGGGATTAGTTGACAAGACGAATCGAGCTAGAAATCTGGAAACGAGTTAACTCGCGTTTGGCTCGTTCCATATGCGAGTGCGAGATCAATTGCATAGTGAATCGACCTAAACCCGACAATAAGCAAGAAGAACAACTCAAATTGGCATATTGAACTCTCCCATCTCCAAATCAAAAGACAAAACAAAGAAAAATCAAGAATTTTCAATTAGAAAATGGATTAAATCCACTAATGGTCACCGAATTTTAGATTTAGTGTCATCATGGCTACCGAATTTTATTTTGTTTCACCATGACCACTCAACTTTATACTTAGTATCACCACGACCACCCAATTTGATTTTATTTCACCATGGTCACCCAACTTCTTTTGACAATTTTCATTAATTTTAAAGGGGTAAAACGGTAACATTATAATTTTTGGAAAATACACTTCTATTAGTAACATTATAGACTCATCAGAGTTACGAGCGAATACAAGTTTAGGCAAGGATTCATGATACACTACATTCAAAAACGAAACCACAAATAGAACCAAAAGTTTAGGCAAGGATTCAAAAAGTTTAGTACTAGTAGTGATGTGATCTATGATCCACGATTCAAAAAGTTTAGGCAAGGATTCATGATACACTACTAAGGTAGTGTTGTAACTATATTCAAAAACGAAACCTCAAGTAGTGTAGTACTAGTAGTAAGGTAGTGTTGTAACTATATTTTGCGTGGTAGACCATTACATTCAAAAACAAAACCACAAATAGAACCAGAAGATGAAAATTTAGGTAATCTAGAAACTTTGGAATGTTTAAGGTATTTATATTTAAAAACCTCAAAGACTAATTTCATACCAAAAACCAAAGAATTAATAATTTTCATTAGAAAGTTTTGAATATTTAAAGCATTTATCTTTAGAAGCATTAAAGACTGATTTCATACCATAAACTAAAGAATTAATAATTTTCAATAAAACATCGTCTAAGATAGATAGTATAGATAGAATTTTAGAATTAACTGAAAAAATAGAGATAATAGGAGAAGACCCTATAAAACATTTGGATAAAAATAAAATTGAAGCTAAATTAGAAATCATAAACGAAAATATAAAAATAAGAACGACAGAAATTAAACACACAAATCAAGACATAGAGGACTTTGATATACAAATTAAAGAGTTATTACATTTAAAGGTAATAAGACCATCCAATAGTCAACATAGATCTGCAGGAATCATAATGAAATTAAAAGAGGTAAAACAAGAATGGTTATAAGCTACAAAAGCTTAAATGATAATACCGTAGAAGATTGATATAAGACACCCGATAAAGACATGTTAAATAAATAAAATACAAAACATTAAAGCGTTTTCGAAATTTGATTGTAAATTTGGATTCTGACAAATAAAAATGGCAAACGATTCTATTCTTTGGACAACTTTTACTACACTACTAGGACATTTTAAATGATTAGTGTACGTAAAACCTAATTTCTTACGTGGAAGATAAAAAGTTTAAAAGATGGATAGTATTTTTAATTATTTTCCATTTATTTGCATATATATAGATGATATTTTGGTACATAGTAAAAATTAAAAAGAGCATATGCAACATTTAGAAATAATTTTAAATAAGTTTATAGAAAACTGTTTAATTATAAGTAAAAAGAAAATGGAAGTGAATAAACAAAAAAAATGAATTTTTAGGAATAATTTTAGGAGAAGGAAAAATCAAATTGCAACCACATATGGTACAGACAATTATACAGTTCCCAGATAGAATAGAAGAAACTAAAAAATTACAAGACTTTTTAGGAATTTTAAATTATACTAGACATTTTATTAAAGATTTAGGAAAGAAAGTACGACCATTATATAGTAAGTTATCTGGTAAATGACAAAAATATTTTAATCAGTAAGATATAGAACTAGTTAGAAAAATAAAAGAAGAAGTTAGAAATTTACCACCATTAGAATTACCATTAGATAGCGAATATAAAATAATAAAAACATATGGATGTGAACTTGGATGGGTAGGAGTTTTATATTCCAAATCGAATAAATATAGTGATAAAAAAGAAGAAAAGATTTGTAGATATACTAGTGGAAAGTATAAGATAAAATGAAAATATTTGACTAGCTTAGATTATGAAATAATGGCGATCATACATAGTATAGAAAACTTTAAATTATTTTTAAATACCGAATTTACAATTAGGACAAATTGTAAAGCTATAGTAAAATTTATTAAAAAGACAAACTTTGATGAAATAAGACATAAAAGACGGTTAAAATTATATGAGATATTAAACAACTTTAAAATTAATATAGAACACATAGACCGAAAAAATAATATTTTGACTGATAATTTAAGTAGACAAGTTATTAATTTTTCAACACATTATTTTCATGGTGCAGATAGATCAGAGGATGATGAATTTTGGGAATGTCACTCTAAGAGTGACCCCACAAGGATCTAATCTCCGATTCAGATGAAATAATTTAGAAAGACCACCGTTTTCTCGATTTTCTAGATAGATACTAATTTATTCTTTAAAACTTTCTACAGAGCAATAAATTAATATTGTTTTTAATTTTCTATATTTTATGTCATTAGAAGATCATACTTTGCTTTATTGTTCTTTAGAAAGTTTTAAAGAATAAATTAATATCCATTTAGAAAATCGAGAAATCGGTACATTAGTTATTATAGAAAACCACATATTATCCGTATTAGATANATTGTATAAATAAAATTATAAAAATATAGAATTTTTCATATTTAGCAAAAAATATTTTTTTTTGTTAAATGTAAATTAAGAATTGAACAAAATGATAAATTCATATTTATACCAAGAAATGTTTACATAGAATTCAAATTTAATGTTACACGAATTATTTGTAACTTTGCAAAGTTAAATTTAACTTAAACAAATAACAACTAAATGCATTTCTAACTACTATTATCAAATATTTATAGTATAAATACATCCCAACTAGGTTGGCATCTCTCCTTTTTTTTTTTCAAATTTTTTTAATTTTTTTTTCACGGGTCAACAGGTTAACCGTGACCCGTTAAGGTGCAACCCGCGAATCCCACGGGTCAGACCTCCTTGACCCGTAAACCGTCCGCTCAGGTCACGGGTCGGCACGCGGTCCCAAGTTAATCCGGGCCGATTTTCACGGGTCTGGCCGGCCCGTCCGTCTTGATACCTCTAACCATGATGAAACGTATAAGAAATTTAGTGGTCATTGTGACAATAAGTATAAAATTGAGTGGTCATAGTAAAATAAAATAAAATAAAATAATCATGGTAATATTAAGTATAAAGTTAAATGACCAATGTGAAATAAAATTAAATTAAATTAGGTAGTCATGACACTAGGGTGTGTGTGATTATATTTATTTTTTATGAAAAAATATTATCTTTTCATTTAAATTCCTATTTTGAAGTGTTTGATTGCTATTTTTTTCGTTGAAAAATATTTTTTAACCTTAAAAATTCATAATTTTCCTTGTTTTTAAGGAAAATATTTTCTTTGATGTGGATTAGATTTTTGTTTTACTCAAAATAAAGAAAATATATTTTTTAAAATATATTTTGATGTTAATCAAACACATTCAAAGTATAAAATTAGGTGATGATCGGTGAATTTAACTCATTACAAAATACAAGGTTCAGTACACTGTGGGCCAGATCTGCAAAAAACTTTAACAAACAAAATCATTTAAAATTTCAAAAGAGATTAAAAAAGTCCAAAAGCCAACGTAGACGACGACAAATCAAGCACGTGAACTGCCCAAAACTGGCCTGCAAAAATTTCCATTGCTTTTGCTTTTAAGACTATCCTATTGTTCTCTCTGATCAATCCTCACATCCTTTCAGTCCAATCACTGAATAAAAGAGCTATTTTTCCCAATAAACAAATTAATAATAACAATAATACACAATAAAAATCTTGGAAGACATTTTCTTTTTAAATTGACAGTGTCTGTGATGCCTTGGCGTTTTGTTTAGGACCTTTTACACGGGTAAATGCCATCTGATTTGTAAAAGATAGAGATTTTGTGATGCTGAAAATTTGAATAATTAGTGTACAGAAGCTAAAAATCGTCAGCATAAGCAAATGGAATTTGTGGGGAGAACATTCATACACGAAAATTCCCAGATCTCAAGAATCTCAGAATTTCGGCCCTAATCTCTGTTTTTACTTTTTCAAGAAAATTCTCTTCATTTTCTTGGTTTCACACCCCTGCAAGTGGGTTCTTATTGTCTAGAACAAGATTGAAACTTTTTGTCATAAGGATTCTTATTTTTGAGGCACAAAGAGTGAATTCAAGATTCTTTTGGAGACAAGCTGAAAAATAGCATTTCTTTATAGGTTAGTTGTAGATATGCTTTAAGAGGTTCTGATTCTGGGATGCTACCTTCTGATGTGAGCTGTTTTCATAATAAGGTAATGTGAAGGAAATGAAGTTAAGTGTGAGAATGGCTTATTCTCTTAAGCTTTTGAAGGGGAAGTGAAATTGAAAAAGCATGGAGAAAAGGGAGTTTCTTTTCTGGAAAGTGGGATTGATATTTTTAGCAATCCTAGACGGTTCTTCTGCAACTCTGTCTCCTTCTGGTATAAATTATGAAGGTAAAATTTTCATCTTTTATTCATTATAGAAGGGAAAAGTTATTTTGTTCTGAATTTCTTGTATGATTCGCTGTGTGATTTCCTACTTTTTATTTAAAGTTCAATTTTTCTTGTTTCTCTTAGTTTCTATCTTAATCTTTAGATTGAGTGTGATTTACTGCACAGAACCTGCATATCCTATACACATATTTTGATATATACACTACACTGATGATCCATTTTTCTGCCACCATTTCGTGTTTTGGCTTAGAAATTCCGTGGCTGTGAAACACGCCTTGTAATTTTTTCTTTTACTGATATTTACACTTTTTGATGAGAACGGGTAAATGGAAACTTACAGCTTACTAGAAATATTTTGTTTTTGACGAATTATAGTGTTCTTTATTGATATGCAGTTGTAGCTTTGATTTCTATAAAGCATGACTTAAGCGATCCATATAATGTTCTGGAGAATTGGGATGCTAATTCTGTAGATCCTTGTAGTTGGAGGATGATCACCTGTTCCCAAGATGGTTATGTTTCTGCTTTGTAAGTTGCCTAACATTATACATTTTCTTGAGAAATTCAATCAGTCTTTCATTCATGATCAATACAAATTTCGTTATATGCATTCTTTTTGGTGATTTTCGTGCTATCAGAGGGCTACCTAGCCTGGGATTGTCAGGGAAATTATCGCCTGGAATTGGGAATCTCACTAATTTGCAATATGTGTACGTAGTTTCTACCGTAATTTTTCCATCAGCTTTTCGCAATAGGTCGCATTACTTCATTTGATGCAGCTTTGGATGTTGAATTTTTTGTTTCCATTATAATGTTTTTAATATATTGTCAAATAATCTGGAAGATGCATCATTTGATGGCCAATGCAAAAGCACTCTAATCACATTGCACAAGTCATGTGTTTCTTTGCAGGTTGCTGCAGAACAATGACATTTCTGGTCCTATTCCAACTGTAATTGGGACTTTGGAGAAGCTTCAGACACTCGATCTCTCAAACAATAAATTTATTGGCGGAATACCAAGTTCTCTAGGAGACCTCAAGAATTTAAATTATTTGTGAGTTCTAGGGACTTTTACAATTTAATATTTCCAATGACTCAAGATTGACTCTCGGATTTTCTGTTTCTTTGAGCAAGTCAGGCGGCTTAGCAACAACAGCCTTTCCGGACAAATTCCAGACACTCTTTCTAATGTCAAAGGCCTCACTCTGGTGTATGGTCTTGTGCTTTTTGTTATTCTATTTGGATTCAAATTTACATTAATGTATTCTTTTTTCTTTGAATAAGTTGAATATTTATTGGTTGCAGGGACCTCAGTTTCAATAATCTTAGTGGTTCTGTGCCGAAAATTTCTGCTAGAATGTTCAAGTGAGTTTATCTGTTTCTGATAAAGATCGGTCTGGCATCGTTAGTTATCTTACCAAACTAATGTTCGTTTTTCTGTAAACGATTTTCAGAATAGTTGGGAATCCTTCAATATGCAGGCAGAGTTCTCAAAATAATTGTTCTTTTGTCTATCCAGAACCATTGTCCTTCCCATCAGATACTGTGAAAGGTATGCATTTCTTTGACCCCCAATCTTCCGTCCCCTAGTCCAGAAAATAGAAAAGAGAAAGAGAATGGTCTTCATGTCGAATGGAGTGCGACCTAATCCTTCTGTGTACACTTACCGCTGGACTCTGGATCTTTTGAGGTCCGTTTTCTTGGAGATGGAGAGACACAAGATATGCCTTGTACACAATCTAAAATATAGTGAAAGCCTTCTCTGGCTTGTGTAAATATATAGCTCTCACATTGTGTGCTTTGCTTGTTTTCTAATTGCCTCTCATTATTATTTCTCTTGAAAGTAAAGAGTTATCCATTACACTTTTGGGATTGCTAATTGTTTGTATCATCGGCAACATGTCCTAAGTATCTTATTTGCTTTCTAGATCACTCAGAATCTGGAGGAAAAAGCCATATAGCTGTAGCTTTTGGAACAAGCTTTGGGGCTGCATTTTTAGTTGTAATTGTCATTGGGTTGCTTGTCTGGTGGCGATATAGGCGCAATCAGCAGATTTTCTTTGATGTTAATGGTAATCAGTATTACACTTTCTATATATCGTTGAATCTCTGATTACATTTCAATCTTTCATGTGACTACATGAGGATATCATTTATCTTAGTTATTGGTTTCATCAGCTTTAAATACTGGAGTATGAGCATTCTAATTCCCTGTTTTGAAGCAATATATTTTCTAAATCTGGGGTTCCATTGTTGATGCCTTTATTGCATGAATGTGTCTGTTGAAGTTTTCAAAGCTTTGTTGTAGGTACTTCAAACTTACTGCACAAGTAAAATTCAATTTGAATGAAAGAGAAATGTCAGCAACAAGCCTGTAGAATCAAGCATCTCCTTGGTTAAAAGAACATGAACTAGTTATATACGAATTTTGCACGACACATTGTTTGTACTTTGTTCTCTCTTTGTGGTAACTGAAAAATTATTCAAGACTCATTCTCAGCTTCTGTAAGTTGCTTGTGGGCTAGTTCAAATTTTAAATCAAAGCTGATGTAGAAGTCCTAAAAGAAGATCTGGAACTCGGCAGCACTGGAGTTCTCCTCCTCACAAATCAGTACACCCATTCTACCACTATATCAAATTCAGCGTATGGAAATATTATTAAGAATGTTTATAATCATCTAATAAATTTAGAAAACATCAACTTTTTAGTGATGCTTTTAAGTCCCATGAGAGGATCAACTGCCATAAATTAAGGAAATTCATTATATAAGTGAAGAGATGATTCAGGATTGTCAGCCAATATAAGTTGTTTGCATTTGAAGTTCGCAGGTGCAAGTTAAATGAAGTATTGCTAATAAATGATAATGCAAAGCTAATTCATTTCTGAACATGTATGACAGTGGTCTTTGATAATGGATCAACATTTTAGTGGAAACACTGTTTTCAATCATGTTTTTGAAGTCAATAGGTTCTTTATCTGTGAGATCATTCATACGCTCGTCTTTTGCTTTGATATGACTAGCATGGAATGCTTACTTGACACTTTTATTTGTACTAGTCTATTACTGGCCTTCTGATTATTATAAGGTTGATTGGCAGATCAATATGATCCAGAGGTACGCTTAGGACATTTGAGAAGGTATACCTTTAAGGAGCTCCGAGCTGCAACTGACCATTTCAACACGAAGAATATATTGGGGAAGGGAGGATTCGGGATTGTGTACAAGGGCTGTTTAAATGATGGGACTGTGGTGGCTGTCAAAAGGTTAAAGGACTATAATGCTGCTGGGGGTGAAATTCAGTTTCAGACAGAGGTAGAGATGATTAGCTTAGCTGTCCATCGAAATCTTCTGCGTCTATGGGGGTTCTGTTCAACTGAAAATGAGCGGCTTCTTGTTTACCCATATATGCCAAACGGGAGTGTGGCGTCTAGGTTGAAAGGTAATCTAATTTTTGCTCCAAATATTGTTGTTATCGAACCATATTGGAAATATTAATCAAACTTATCATATACTGTTTTGGATTCACATGTTAAATGTGTTCTTAAGGGTTATTTCAAGTATAACGTCAATATGGGTGAACAAATTGTTGTGAAGATAATTTTTCTAAATCTAATGGGTTTCAAGTCTACTTATTATACCATGTTTGGCCCCCAAGTTTGAAAAATCATTTTGTTCCCAAACTCATTTCCAACCTTACATTTTATTGAACCCACAACTTTTATTAACTTTTTAATTACACGTTTCATCAACTTTTATCAAAATCAAACAGGGGCTATATGCATTACAAAGAAATCACTAGGAACGCTTTATACAATTATAACCAGTTCTCTTACTACATTTTTTCGCCTTAGGTTTATGGAAGAGCACCTTCGACAATAAATACTACCTCAAAATGATGATGCTAGATGGTCTAATGTATGACTGATTTCCTGTGTTGTTCTTTCAGATCATGGCCATGGGAGGCCGATATTAGACTGGTCTAGACGGAAAAGGATTGCTTTGGGTACTGCAAGAGGACTAGTATATTTGCATGAACAATGTGATCCCAAAATTATTCATCGTGATGTGAAAGCAGCCAATATTTTGTTGGACGAAGATTTTGAGGCCGTTGTTGGGGATTTTGGAATGGCAAAGCTTCTGGACCACCGGGATTCTCACGTTACCACAGCCGTCCGAGGCACTGTTGGTCACATTGCTCCGGAGTATTTATCAACCGGTCAATCTTCGGAAAAGACTGATGTCTTTGGGTTTGGAATTTTACTTCTTGAGTTAATTACGGGTCACAAGGCTGTGGATTTTGGACGGGGAGCCAACCAAAAGGGGGTGATGCTTGATTGGGTATGCTCTGTCTCTTATACACAAGTCTCTTATATTGCTGTCCTCAACTAAACCTTCTAACGCAGCTATTTGCTTTCTTCTATCAAAATAAATCTGTAATTCTCGTAATCATAATTTTCTATGCTGAATTATGATTTTTTTATTTTTTTCTTGGCAATTAACTGTCACAAGGATTCACTGAAACGCCTCTTGTGCAGGTAAAGAAGCTCCATCAAGATGGTAAGCTGAACCTTATGGTGGACAAAGATTTAAGGAACAATTTTGACAGGGTAGAATTAGAAGAAATGGTCCAGGTTGCTCTCCTTTGTACTCAGTTTAATCCTACCCAACGTCCTAAAATGTCGGAAGCATTAAGGATGTTAGAAGGTGATGGTCTGGCCGAAAAATGGGAGTCATCACAATCAGCTGAGACAACTCCGAGGTATGGAAATCCTCTACAAAGATATTCCAATTTCATCGAAGAAAACTCTCTTGTGATTGAAGCAATGGAGCTCTCAGGCCCAAGATAATAATACTCGTTTCGTTCTTTCTTCTGTATACATGTTCTTGATCGATATCGTATATTTTTGTGCTTTATCTGGAAATACCAACTTCTGTTAATAGCAATTGAAATGGAGAAGTGTTACTAGAATTTTGTGTGATTTGATCAGAGAAGTTGCCTGTGATCACTCCGGAAATCAAAAAAGTTAAAATTAGGACAATTTCAGTAGTAATAGTTTAAACAATTCTCGTGAGAAGACTATCACTCTATTACTTGTCACGATGTTGAGTAAGCAACACCATGTTTGTCCCAATTTTTCCATCAATGATTGATGGAATTTTATTTTTTATGGTAAAAGTGGCCAGATTTATATCCACTGCTGAAGCTGTTTTGACCATGTTAGTGGTTGTAACATGAATATCTGTTTCTCTTCATTCGTCACTCAGGCAAACCATCGACAAACGGAGGTGATAAACAGAATTAAAATTACAATGCTTTATTAAGGCAATGCAAGAAGGATTTGATCCCACGAGGAGTTCTGAAAACCCTTGTTCGACCAAACTGAACTAAGAATGCTTCTCTCATCGCCTACTTGAAAAAAAGACGGACATTAGCCATAAAAAAAGACCCTAATAGAGGCCATTGCCGTTCTGTGACTTGCTGGTTCGCCGTAAATTAGCCATAACCTTAAACTGCTCGAATTATGGCCAATCGCAGACAAAAAAAAATTAACTTAAATCCATTCCAATTGCTGTTCTTCTCAAGATCCATGAAATGCTTCATTTCCAATACAGTTTCCCAATCAGTTTTGAAACTGATTTTGTATGGAAACTTGAGTGCCTTTTAAATGAAGCTGAGGGAGAATTTAGCCTAGAAAAGAGGGTTATAAATAATAGATATAGAGTTGAGTAGGGCAAAATCATTACATAATTATCCACTAGCCCTTTTTTCTTCAATCTCTCTACATGTACATCTGATTTATACCCCGTTTACCGAATTTACACTTGGTACAATCTAACACAATCTGTCATGTCTTAAACATTTAATCCAACCATGAAATCTTGCGACATCACCCATCTATCAACAAATATGTCAAACTTAATGTACAAATAGTTTAATTGTTTTTTCTTACACTATAACCATGAAAGTTGCTCAAAAGCTTTTTTATGATCTGTACTTGTTCTTAAAACATTTCAACTTTACCCTTTACCTACTCATGATACGACAATGTTCGAATTATTGATCTTAGTCTCATCGGCAGAAATTGTGAGGTCGGTTTATGTTGTTGATTGGTAAAATTATTTAATTTTCTCGAAATGAAGTTCTAAGTGTAAAGATTTTGACGAGTGCTGGTGATACATAAGTTTGGATAACACAAGTTGTTGGATATGTCTTGGATTGATTTTAAGAAAATTTCTATTAATGTGATTCGAGTAGTTAGAAAGTGGATCAAAATTAACATCGTATATAATTATAACAGATCTAAGTGCATTGGATCTTTCATACTATATAATGATAAAGTGAAATTAATGGCAACATTTGAACGCTTAATTAGAGGGGAAAAAAACTTAAAAAGTCTATTAAAAGGTCCATTTAACATGATATGTAACTGGATATAACAATAAATGGAACGAAATGGAGAAATGACGATATATGAAAATTACTACACCTAATTCTAATTAGTAAATTAAAATCCAAATATTTACAAGTTTTTTATTGGAAATTTAGCCTCCATTAAACGAGATTATAAGTTTTTGATACCAAGTGAAACAATATCATTAA